CATCAGAAATGTTGGGGCCCCTGACAAAGTTCAAGGTCTGGGCCCCCAGTGCCCACTCACGAGTCCGCCCACAGGGCCATCCTTGAATCTGCCAACAAAGATGCATTATGTGTGTAGAGTGAATGCAGAGTCTGTGTGTGTAGTCAATGCAGTGTGTGTTTAGTGGATGCAGTGTGTGTAAAGTGGCCAAATGTAGATCCGAATCTGTTGTAAGTCCCAGAATGCTTTGCTAGCTATGGATCTATAATTTGCAGGGCTGTATTTAGCACTCAGCACTGTATGTGTGTTTGAATATAAACATGGTTTTGAATGGAGTATGTGTGTATTTGAATGTTGGTGTTTGAATGCAAGCGTGCATTTGTCTGTAGTATATAAACATACACACACACACCCTGACATACATGCAAATACACAGACACAGTTACACATATTGGCACATAGTTACACACACATACACTCAGGTTCACACTGACAGATACAGACACATACACACATATACACAGACACACTCAGGTGCAAACTGACACACAGATACAGACACATACACACACATGCACACACATAGGAGATACAGGCACATGCATTGACATACATGAAAATATACAGACACAGTTACACACACATACATTCACGTGCACACTAACACCCAGATACAGACACAGATACACACTCAGGTGCAATCTGGCACCCAAATATACACAGACACACACACATGCACACACTAACACTCTGATACACACACATAGGACACATACAGACACACACTGATATACATGTAAATACACAGACACACAGATATACACACTGAAAGATACAGACACACACTCAGGTGCACATTGACAGATACATACAGACACACAAACAGATACACATAAAAACAAAATATAAATAAAATATATGTGTAAAAATGTAGAGAAACATGACCGGTGTATAGTCGCCATATGGGCAGTCGGACTCCAGGACAACCCTCCCACATACCTAACCCAATAACTCACTGACACAAAGGTATATGGGAAAATTTGTCCACAGCTTTATTTAAACAATCTTGAATAATAATAATTTATTAAGCAATAATAATAATTTTAACAATAAACATGGGTCATTGCCCCCATACTCCGCCCTCGTAACCGAATCCTTCTGTTAATATAACAGGCAATGACCCCCATATAAATAACATATATACATATAACATACGTATCAACATATTCCAACATACCAACTTAAAGTGCCAAACATAAATTAACCATGGCAGGGGTATACCCGGATACCCCTGCCCCACCAGATTCTGAGCCACCGACAGGACTCGGAACCTACCAACCACCAATGACCACAGTTTTACGTCTCCATGACGTTCATCCTAGGGAGCCTATTTCTTCTCCTTCAGCTCCCTATCCCGCCGCTGTGAAAAAAACGGGATAACCCAAATCCGTTACCAAATTCAGGGAGGGTGGGCGGGACAAACTCAGCAAGGTAGTAATTAAAAGTGAAGGATTTAAAATGGCTGCCTATTTAAATAGCCAAGCCTACTTACCCATAACTCCATACTTCCTTCCCTCCTCCTATGCCCGCCTCCTAACCCCTGTCAAGGCCTTTTTCCGCTTAGCTGCGCTTTGGCTACATGGGGCTACATGACCGGTGTATAGTCGCCATATGGGCAGTCGGACTCCAGGACAACCCTCCCACATACCTAACCCAATAACTCACTGACACAAAGGTATATGGGAAAATTTGTCCACAGCTTTATTTAAACAATCTTGAATAATAATAATTTATTAAGCAATAATAATTTTAACAATAAACATGGGTCATTGCCCCCATACTCCACCCTCGTAACCGAATCCTTCTGTTAATATAACAGGCAATGACCCCCATATAAATAACATATATACATATACATATAACATACGTATCAACATATTCCAACATACCAACTTAAAGTGCCAAACATAAATTAACCATGGCAGGGGTATACCCCGATACCCCTGCCCCACCAGATTCTGAGCCACCGACAGGACTCGGAACCTACCAACCACCAATGACCACAGTTTTACGTCTCCATGACGTTCATCCTAGGGAGCCTATTTCTTCTCCTTCAGCTCCCTATCCCGCCACAAGCTTAGACCTTGACTCCTTAAGCTGTCTGAGCTCCGCCACCTCGAAGAAAAAGAGCCTTAGTCATGCCATCCTGCCAGCCCAGGGTCAACAGATCCCAACCAACTGCCGAGAGATGGACTCCATCCGAGCGGTAGTACCCTGGCAAACCACCTTCCAACTCGCTGTGTCGAACTACCACACCCCCTAGCTTCCGCACGAAGCTTGCCATCAAGCTATTGACTTTCTTCCTACATCTGTCAATAGCCTCCGGGTCCCTAGCATGCTGCCACCGCTTCCTAGGGATAATCTCCGACCAGACCAACATCACCCCCGGAAGTAGGTCCCTTAAACTGTTATGGTCCTGCTTCATCCACTTCACCAGCCGCCGCTGCGGAGTGAGGTCCAAGTCGTTGCCCCCCGCATGGAGCACCAGCAGGTCCGGCCGTTGCCCGCCTGCTACCATCCGGAACACCCTTCCGCAGACCTCCCCCCAACAAAAACCCCTGTACCCGAACCATTGTACTGCCAACTGGTCCCGATGAAAGCCCAGCTGGTGGCCCTGAGCTCGAGCTGCAGCCCTCCTTTCGGCCCAGAAGACAAATGAATGGCCCACGATCCATGCGACACGGCCTGGGGGAGAGAAGGAAAACAGATCATAACAGCCCCTTATGCATCCAGCCCCCGGGGATCCCCCCAAAGGCCCTTCACCATACTACTCCAATAAACCCAAGCGCACATATGAACGGAACCGTACCGACTCCCATCTCCCAATCCGTTTCACTATGT